ATGAATAGAAATGCTGCATACTGCATGGCCAGCGGAAAAGGGCGGACCCCAGCAGCGACAGACCTGGGACACAAATGAATAGAAATGCTCCATGGCCAACGGAAATGGGCGGACACCAGCGACAGACCTGGGAGATTAAATTACTGTAATGCATAGAAATGCTACATGGCCAACGGAAAAGGGCGGACACCAGCAGCGACAGACCTGGGAGATTAAAGGAATAGAAATGCTACATGGCCAGCGGAAAAGGGGGGACACCAGCAGTGACAGACCTGCAAGACAAATGAATAGAAATGCTACATGGCCAGCGGAACAGGGGGGACATCAGCAGTGACAGACCTGGGAGACAAATTAATAGAAATGCTACATGGCCAGCGGAAAAGGGCGGACACCAGCAGTGACACAAAGGGCGGACACATCTTAAGAATGAATTGAGAACCCCTAACAGTAAACTGTTTGGGGAAAAACTCTGTACAATACGCATGTCCTTGGAGGACCAAAAAATAGACGTCTATAAAATGGTTCCCTCAGGCTTGTCCCAAAAATGTCTTAACATGTCATGTTTCACTGAGTTTGGCCTTGGAAAAATAAGCCCATTTTATAGAGAAAAGCGTGTACCCAGCCCCCCATTCTATCATTCTGTAGAGGAAGTTCCGGACGTCAATATATCCACCACACAAAGTACTTAGTACTGACAGCTATGAGGAACTGGAATGTGACGCACTGGGGCGCTGACGGCGCTTTGGCCTCTTCACTCCATTTGTCCTTGTCCCCTCCTTCTTTTTCCTTGGCCTCTTTGTCTCCTCCTTTCTTTTCTTGCGATCAGACTTTGAATGCTTCTCCTGACACTGGCCAGCCATCGCAGGAAAACGCAGGACGACTCGCGTCTGGCTTGGATGAGATTGCAAAAATTGCTAACAAGCCCCAATTGCTTGCTCATAGGTGCATGGCTCAAAGCCCATTACCAGGGCGATCCATCCCTTATTCGATTATTGGCAAAAGTCGCACATTTGTATCGAATCTTTAGACTTTGAACTTTTGAACTTGGATTGAGGTATATAGTATATAAATATAAATGGTTCTACGTTGTAAAGAAACACTATGTTTAGACGTTGGGCCAAACACATACGTCAAACTTTGCCAGAATATGTGCGCGTACTTTGCCAGGATAGGTGTTCGTCGAAATTTGTACAGATTTAGAGTGACTGCCAATTGTTGCATCAACAGTCCAGTTGATGCGTGACAGGGAAGGAAAGGGGAAGGGCTGTAAGGATTGGAAGGTCGGGTGTGGGACCAATCACCATGCATCGATGTCCTTCTTTTGCTTTCGATGTGGAGAATCGCCCTCAAGAGCAGACTTCATAAAGAGACTGCCCAGACTTTGAAATCCTTGGAGCCAAATTGGAACTGTCACTGGAAAATCATAATGATCAAGTCCTCAAAGCAACTTAATCGCGCTGAAGTGAACTTGGATGCGTACAAGTGCTGCTTCTGGCTGGTGACAGCCTTCATTTCTTCAGCTTGATGGCCCCATGGCAAAATCAAGTGATTGTAGGAGTTGACCTCTTGCATTGCTTACCTTTGTCCCTTATCACTTATGCTGTCCCTGATGGCATGAAGTCATGCTATGAGTTGAACGAGACTTTCAAAAAAAACATGTCACCAGTGCCCCACACATCGCAATTAGTCAGATTCTTGGATCATATTGAACGCGTGCAGTGCAGACTCGAGCCAAGGGCCAAGGGCCTCCTATTACAAAAAGTCTGCACTCAAAAAACTCCGAAGACATCAGAGTGCTCTGCTGATGTTTGCTGATTCATGAGGCGTGGTTTGTTGGTTTCATTTCTGTTTCGAGCATGGGTCCTCCATGGCAACTCTTAACTGCCACGAGGAAGGAGCTTTCGGAGCGGCATCAGTGCAAGGCGCGAAAAAGCTCCTAGTAGCGTCCTTGCTCCCAGTAGTAAGGCCAGGAGCCTCTAGTAACATCCTTGTTCCTAGGAGTTTGCTCAGGCAATGACCTGTTGCTACGGGTGAGTATATTCTGCATCGGCTTGCTCATCACCCCGCTTGCTCATCACTATCAAATCATGCAATGTGGGCTGTCGATCTACTGCATGTAGTGCCCACGCTTGCTCCAAAGCTGGGATGCATGAAAGCGGGTCAGTACACTGTATCCACCCTATTGCATCAGAAACCTTTCCAAACAATGTCATCCCTCCCACCACCAACTTTCTGATGCGCTTTGATCCACTCAATCATATTACATCGCACTCTTGGCAACTCAACTGGGGTGGGCTCACCTTTTCCATGGCCCTTTGTGTCAAGTGAAGCTTGTCGACGAGCCCTTTTTGCATCGCGTGACACCTGCGTTTGGCAAGCTTTGTATCCAGGATTCCGCTGGCATTTATATATGTACATCGAAAGCTCGGAAAGTTGACATCAAGCCATCAAGCCAAACAATCCTAACAGGCGTAAGGACAACACCACAAGGAAGGCTGACAACCATGCCTCTCGTCCGCTTCTTTGTGAGCTGCCGCCAACTTTCGTTGAAAGTCCTAGATAGAACATGATAGAACGGCTCTGCGAACAGTATGGGCAGTAAGCTGGCCCCTGTTAGGAATATAAAGGAAGAGCATAAAGAGATGCATGAACAAAGAAAGGTAAGGCCTCTTTATATGGGCCCTACCTTCCTTTTTCATCTCGTCCTTGTTCTGCTATTTCTAACAAAAGCAAGTGCAAGAAGCGGGTCTTGGCCTACGGACTCTTGAAGACATAGATCGAAGGAAGACTTTGACAAAAACAAGACATCCAAGCAAACTTCTCAGCTTCACAGCAACGAACTTGTTACTTTTGTTCGGCTTCATCGTGCTGAAGCAGCAGACGCCATGCGTATCCAACATGCCCACCTCGAACATCGCAGCTGCCCGGCTTTGGACTTGTTGCGAAATCAACACATGAATTTGAAGGTTATTTTGGAGGCAGTTCTCTCCCAGCGTAAGGCATTGCTAAGTTTGCATGGTGGTGTCATGTTCTCAGGCTTTGTTCTGCATACATGTGCCTCCAAGCATCTCAGGCGTCAATTTCAGTTATATAGAGTCAGAGATTTGATGACACCAAGAAACCTCCAACCACACAGGGGTAAACCAACTCCATGAGCAGCTCCACCACAGGTCGTGGGGCGGGCGACCAGAACAATCTCGGTAGTAGTCTTAGTACCTCAAAGCTACTCTACCAGCTCCTAAATGGCTAGTCCGTTTCCCACACCTGAAAGTGAACGTCAGGCGGGAGAGACACGGGATCCTTCAAAACAAGTCCCCCAAGAAAAGTATCAATTCATTGAACTGATCACAAATCTTTAAATTCGTTGAACTAACTGTCGCTTCTGCAGTCAAAAAACATTGCCCAGGTCGATCAATCCCCTTTCATGCCTCCTGCAACAATGACGGAGCCGGTTGCAATTCAGCCTGAACGGGGCAGCACCAAACTCCATGGAAGAGTTTTAAACACACTTGCTACCTACCGCCGACTCCTTTGACTGCCACGTCCCGCAGAAAAGGAAGCAACGTTCCTCTTCAACTGCAGTAGGGTAAAAGCCAGCACTAGGGGGGTCTCGCCTCCTGGACCAGCTGCAAGAATGACCGTGTTTTCGAGCGTAGCTCAAGACGCCCAGGCTGGGACATGGATATGAGGACACCGCCTGGTCGCAAACCACATTGGCTAGGTCCATTGCTAAAGCTGCTGGTGTACAACTCGCCAAATCTCTTCAATTGACACAAACGACGTATCCTCCAGGCAAGAGGCTCAAGACTCAAGTACTCAAGTCCTTTTCCTCTCAAGGTTGGCCAAGATTGAAGGATATTGAAAGACACCTAGTTGGGTTTCGGATCCCGACACGACATATTCAAGGGTTTTTAGATCTGATTCAAAGGCAAACCCAGCCTGTAGCAACAACCCTCCATGCCTGCAGACAACAAAGCTGTATGATATCATGTGATATTAGATATCCTATTGATTGTGCAGCTCAATGCAGATCCGTCAGCAGCTCAAACACTAGCTAAACCAAGTAATATACTGTAGGAATACTCGATCCTCGATCTCCCCAATCCCTATTGGAGGTACAAAATACCAGATGCTTCAGACTCCAAGCACAGGCAGCCTCTGCCAAGGCCACTTGAACTTCAGAAGTACCAGGCCTGAGACACTCTCTAGTGTTTCAGCTACAGATACAACTGCAACATGTCTCAATTAAAAAGCCGAAACACTAAACTCCAAAAGAAAGAAACTACATCCACTCTTGACTCTGCGCCTTGTCCGGAGAGCATCGAAGAGGCCTTTCCTCGGAGAGACTGGCAACTAGGATCCACCAGGTCTTCAAAACGTTCATGGCCGTGTGGGAGGAACCCAATGGCACAATTCTGCGTGTTGAGATGTGTCCCCTGGCATTATATATTCTCTCTCCCACCCGGTCCCAGCAGTATCGAGCATCTCACCAAACTGTGGAATGTTTTCTGGAGGGTGTGCTGTACATGTTCACATGTCCTTGTGCACCGGCAATTATTTCTGCAGAAAAATGTACCTAGCTTTCTCAGCTTGGAGTCTCCAAAACGATGTCAAAGCAGCCGTCGCGAAATGGCAGCCTCACAGCCATTCGAAGGCCACAACCCACCGCAAACCCAGCACAGCCAAGGTATTGTTTGAAAAACAGCACCTTGAAATCAAGTTCCAAGTGAAAACTGTTTTTCAAGTTCGTGAAGCTCGATCTCGTCCAATCCCAAGCCGCCTCTTGACGTCAGCCACAGTGAAAACTAGCCTAGTTCCTCGACCTGAGCAAAGTGTTGCGTGATTGAAGACAAAGCTTGCACTGCAGGATGACTTGGTGTGCAGCACGTACTGTATCTGTAATATCATCTCAACGACCTGCCTATTATATATATATATATAGGCTAGGCGTTAGCAGGGCAAACTGGGCGCCATTGAGTGCTGGACTGCGAGGGGGAGCTGTTGCCTTGCCATGTCAAAGGGCTTTGTGGTCGTGAGTAGGTGATGGCAGCTCCGATATGAGCAAACAAGGGAAACAGTACAATGCCTGCAAGCGATCTTACATATCAGCTGCACGTACAGGGCATATAGCAGCAAATACACTGTCCAGCGGGAGTTAATCAAAATCGGGAGCCCTCACTTGTCTTTCAATATCATCGCATTCCGCATACAGTAACTCCACGGTTGATGCCATCCTCTGCAGTGAATTACATTTTGTGCAAAAGCAAGGAATCTTTGGTTGGCTGAGACTACGTAACTGCTAACCGAGGAATCTTGATGAATACCCTATAGATTCATGTTGATTCACTTTGCAAGGAAAGCATTCGTGTGGGTCCAGTCTGAGCAAGCCTGGGCGCAGCATTGGCTGTGAACCAAATCCAGGCCTTCTGGTGCAACAGAGCTTCTGGAGAAATGTCGCAGCCAACCACCAATCGAGCAAATCCTCCTTCTGCAAGCTGTGCAGGCAAGCGCGAGGTACCTCAGCAAGCAGTGTTGCTGGGATTGATGCGTCAATCAAGGGTATATGTTATTCCTGTCGGTCTGTGAGAATGAATCAATGCAAACAGCAGTCAATTCTTTGTTTTGCCGAAGAAAACACAAGTAGGTGTAAACGAGTGGATACAAATGCGTTAAATCAAGCCAAGCCAGACCACCTCAGAGGCTATTTTGCACTGGATGTCTTTAAACCTAGAGCAACTTCGAGACTCAAAGTTCCGACGCTTTGCAGTGGGATTATTGATTCTTGTGCGAGGTATGAGTCATGATTATGTGATAGTGCCACGAGAAGGCTCTCTTGAACCGAACTTTAACCCTGTGTTTTTCAAAGGTACTGTCGCCAGCAAAGCTCTCTTTAGCAACCTCTCACAGCTTTGTGCAAACTCGAGCTGCCACAGCCAAGATCAAGGATTCTGCGTGTCTTCGGCCGGATGAAGCGGCCCAGTATTGGTCCCACATCCTCAAAGCTTGCATGTTCTTCATCGGTTTATCGCCCATGGTGTTCTTCTCTGATTTCAGTTTACTCGCTGCTTGTAGATTGCAACTTGCGGCGTTGTTTTGCCTTTGCAAAGCGAAACCGCTGCTTCAAGCACAACCCCCACTCACACCGGAGGGCCTTCCAATCAACATTGTACCATTCCAGAATCTCTCCTTGCTCCAGCTGACTGAAGATGTGACTGTAATATTCCGGCCTGGCGTCTCAGGTCAGCTTACTGAGGCCAAAGGCTTGGGGAGCTTCTGTTTATTTCAACGTTTGGAATTGAAGCCTTTTCAGAAATACATACGTCTTTTAAGAACTTCTTTTCAAAAAGGGTGCTTCCACTGTGGTGCTGAAGTTTGGATTGGACTCCTCGGCAGAATCTACGTCGCAGGAGGTCAAACCAGTCGTCACAATCCGGAGTGATGGAGTTCGGAGTTCCATCCTATTTGCAGCCATACATCTCAACATTCAGACTAGGGATAGGCTGATGAAGGTCAGGTAAGCAGCCTGTATCTGTAATAAGTAGCAAACACGGCCGTAAGACGTGTCGAAGATCCTGCGCCTTACCAGCAACCACGTGTTGCCCCAAAGCTTGCTACAGCTGCTGTCTCTTACTATTGAACTCACTCAGTGATTCTTTTTCTCCATGCATGTAGTATTAGACACTCACGAGATAAGATTGCGGCACGAAGGGCACAGAGCTTCTTTGAATTGTCGCCTGAGGCACCCACTTGTGGAACACAAAAGTGTGATGCCAAACATCTATGTCTATGTGTGTATGTATATATTATGTATACATCTAGATGGTATATTCGTCCAACCTTGGACCGGCCAGTGCCAGTTGAGCAATTGTCATATCTTCTGATGAGAACTAAGCACCAAGCCAGGCAGCGCTTCGCCATCATTGCCATGGGTCACAACGCTACGGGGCATCAAGAGAGGGGAACGATCATCCTAGGCCGAAGAAGCTATTTCTGCGAGCCCGTCGCTTCGGACATGGCGTTGTTGCTGGAGAGCTAGAACCAGATTGCACCACCGAGCACTCGTCAAGTACGTCCTCCTCTCGAAGCTCAGCTTCAATCCGGCTTCTCTGCCGTACATCCTTCAAGCTCGAGACTGTGGCAGCTCAGTGGTTGCATGTGACTGTCAATAAAACAAATGAATACAAATGAGAGAATTGCACGAGCACATCTCCATTAAAACATCGCTTTGGAACAGCCTCAAGCTGCTGCTCTGCTTTGAGTCTTTGTCCAACCTCAACTGAAAGTGCTTCCTCCTGAATGTTGTCGTGCTCCTAGCTTTAGAGATTGAAATCAGGCTTCGGCCAATTTGTTCAATTCTTCTGTTTGCTGAGTCACCTCAGGTTGCATCAGCCTAAACCCTGTGCTCACTGTTCGAACCCCAGGCACACAAGACAAACACTTACAACACTGTTCTTCCAAAAAAAGGTGGCACGAGCCTGTTCGGACAACTTTCTGGATGTCTCCTTTCAGAAAAGCTGAGCTAACTTCATTCTTCCAAACATTTCAAGATTGTGCCTCGGCTCCTGTTCTCGCTTTTGACAACTCGAGATTTGCCTGATAAAGAGATGGAGCCACCAGCAGTTGCTAAAGACCCCAAATGCAAACACCTTGGGCTGAACTTAGCACGCCTCGCTTTCTTTGTGGATACGCGCCAACAAGTTGTCGGAACGCTTCTGCATCTCCTGCAGCACTCATTGCAACAGCCAATGTCTTGCCGAGGATCTGCAAGTGATGTGAAGACGGTTTCGTTCAGGATCAACATAACTATATATATATATCGTTGAAACTGGCAAATACCGCTTAGACGAGCCCTTAAAGTTCAAGTTCAGGCATGCGCAAGATCTGCAGTTCTCGCTGATCCCTCACCTGTAAAGCTTGGCGCATGCTTTCATAGCTGCGCTCCGGCGATGTCCTTCATCAAGTCTTTTCAAAAACCAAAAGCTCTGACCGAAACCCTGCTAAGCCAAGCAGCTGCTTATATTTCAGGACAAAAAGGTAGACGAAAAATACAACCTGAGAGGCACGCCCTCGGTAGGCCAGGGAGGGCACCACCTAGAAGCAGGGCACTTAATGTGCAACATCTAGGTTCTTGCCAGGAAAGCGCAAAAAAATATAAACATGAAAACAGCAGTGCGGGGCCGCCAGTTTTTGTGGCCATCTCATTCCACTGAGTCTGAATAATGCGGGCGCGCACCCGGCATTCAGCTCAGGAGTCGACCAGCCAACGAATAGTTCAGGGCAAAGCACACACTCACATGATGAACACACATGAAACAAAAACAAAGGCCAAGTGAATCTTTGAACCTTGTGAAGTCGGAACTATGCCATCCCTCTTGGATGGCACTTCTACCATCCCATGAATTGACAAAACAATTTTACAAGCCCTCATGACATCTGCTTTCCTACAAGGCTTGGCTGGAAGTCATAATGCCTTTAATGTATACTGCTTGGGCTGCTCCTTGTGAAACGCTGACCTGCAGACCATCTATTCATTTCACTGGCCACCTTTGTTGCCTTCGAACTTTGAATCAGGAGCCTCAAGAGAGGGGAGTGCACACTTGAGAGACTTGAGAAGCGGGAAAGAACACGAGAGAATACTTTGCTCATCCCACCATCCATACAGTAAGAGAATGACCACCAATGCAGGCGATGGTGTACTCTCTGATGCTTCAGCTCTAGTGTCACCCATAAGACTTGCGTGAGAATGCTCGGGGCTGGAACACTAATCTGGAAAAACCTTTACTTCATTAAGCTGATTCCAATCACTCAAATGATGCTTGTGATGTGCGTGTCCTTTGGGGGGTGTACCAATTGATTCTATCAGGCAAAGTCGGTGGGGGGAGAGAGCGGGAGAGCCTTTTGCCATGATACATCAATTCGATCGCTCCCCTGAAAACGAGCGAGAACTTCAGCAGATGTGCTGCAGATATCGCTTTCATGACTGAAAACTTGGATGCTGATTTAGTAACCAAGTGTCCAAATGTACGGCTTTGTAACCGGCTCAAAGTCTAAGCTGAGGCCCCGGTCAATCGAAACAGTAAGGCCATCCTGTTGAAGTTTGAGGCAGAACTGCTCTGCCAAAGCCTGCCGAGTGTGGGCTACGCAGCGTGAATTCACGTGTTGAGAGATGCTGCCTTGACTGGAGGGTGTCCGTTCAATGTGGAAAATTGGACATTTGCGAGCAAAGCTGGTACACTCCTTCAACCAAAGTTCAAGTACCTCCTTCGTCCATCCAACAGTAAACAGTAAACATCGCATGCATCTCATGATTCAACATTGTCATTGACAAGAAAACTCGTTCGCCCAATGTCCCTTGCACCTCTATGCCTATGCCTGCCCTTGTAGCAATGCACATAGAAGTAGTAAACCCAAAAACACCTACCTAAACCCATACCAAATTGAATTGTATATTATATACTATATACAGCTCCACTGGGCCGTGCCTTCCAAACACACGCCACAGTGGCCTTGCCTGAGCTGTGAGCCTGGCACCGATTGTGGAACCACAAAGGTTTAGCAACGCATGGTTTGGTGGTATATTGGTTCAACAAAAGGATGTGAAGAAGTGTCTGCAACCAGTTTTTGTTCCGAAAAGCGTGCTTGCTCAAAGTAGTTTGTGTGTGTGCCCGTCGGCCCCAAGTTCGTTCTAGCAGCCCCTGTGTGCATTTTGTAACATAAGGAAGTCACCAAAGCCGCAAAAACCCTATAAAGACCCACATGTTTCATGTCAGTGGGTGTGATAAGTGCACGTAGCCTGACTGTGTTCCCCAAAAACCCTGCTTTGTGATAGAATTAACATGTTTTTTTGGAAATTTGTTGTCTCGTGTCGTGGATTGTTTTTACGGATATATAAGTGAAAAAACCATAGGAACGGAGCATGAAGCGCCACTGCCACGACCAAATCCTCTGCTCTATCTGCACCGATTTCAAAGAGAGCAAATTCCTTCAAGTGAGTCCACATTGCATCAACTCCACCAGTGTGAACATTCAAAACCCCGTCTAGAGTCTTCTGTCGTCACATCAACAACTCATCACCATCGTGTTCCACTCATCACATGAACGAAACCAGCCCCCCCCAAACCCCAAACCCCACCCCGCCGAAACCCCGCGTAGGTCACATCAACAACTCATCATCTTGTAAGGTTGATGAACATGTTGTGAAACCGATCATCATGCTCTCTACATAACATCAACGTCCATGGCCACCCGGTCGAAAAAGATCAGTTTTAATCAAATTTATAGCGATTCAAAATTAGCACCACTACACGTTCGGTTTCCGACCCGGTGGCATAAACAAAGCGAAACGGCTGGGCACGAGGCCAGTTCGATGAACGGGCAATATCAGAACGTGGAAGGCAGGACAAGGGAGAGTTGGAGAGTCTAAAGTCTGGCATGCAGGAGAAAGAATTGTAAGATAACATGGCATCAGGGCTGACGAATTCGTAATCTTAGTAAAGCATCAAATGAAGAAGCAAAGTATGAAGATTCAAAACAAAAGCAAAGGATAGAACAGTAGTGAAGTGGGGAAGTCCTCCTAAGGACAAGATGTCTTACATAGCAAGACAGAGTTAAAAGGTGTTGGACTTGGGGATGGAGTGCCCTTTTAGAATTTTGCAATGGAGTTCCTTCTTTTAATTCCCTGTTTGTTTGGACTGCGTTTGCACGTGCGATCCAAGATTTGGCCTTTGGATAGTTCAAAATGCTGTTCAAATCTGTCTTGTCAAAGGTCACCAAAAGTGACAAAATGCACTGATCCGACAAGGCAACATTCAGTGAGAGTCAAACGGACCATCAAATGTTGCGTGGTTGCCAGATGGTCAAAACGTTACCAATATTGCCATATTGCAGTGGAAAGCCAGGCTGTGATTGGAGTTTCAGGACCAACTTCATAAGCAATGAAACAACTGGCTTCCACAAGTGCTCAACTCACCATGCAATTCGATGAACAATTTCGAACACTAGATTTGTAATTAGCACAAACCGAAGGTTTGCCCCTATTGCGCCCATGTCAGGCCTCCCACGTGATAGAGTATGCCTTTCGACGCGAAAGATGTTGCACCACCTGGCGTTTCATGATGACTTGGGTGACCATCAAAAACTGCGAATTGCATCTTTTTGCCAAGGGCCGGTCACAACTGCAGTCAGTACGCTGTAAAGACTGGCAAAGCTCGACTTTGACTAAGCAGTTCGTGACATACTCGAAGGTGTGGATGTCATCGTTATGCAAAAGCACCCTCCACCACCTTAAGGCTTGGAACCAAAAGCATGTGGGTGGATCTCATCATCCCAGACTTCCTGCTTGCCGACTTGAGGGGCGAGCTTCTCCTTTTCAAACTGCTCCTCGGCAGGCAAACATGAGAAGACTCCGGTCAAAGTTCACAGCCTCTCACCTTCATCTGCGTCTTCCTGTCCACCTGGCCATCAGAAGCAGTTGGGCGCTTCATGAGCTGGAGCATTCCAATCCTGCCTTTTCGATCACTGCGATTCCTGCATCCGGAAGGTCAGGCTGCCCTTGAGCACGGCGAGCCACTCGAGATCCTCATCGCCCATCAAGTCAACGAGGGACAGACTTGAAAGACTTCAGCTCTGTCTCTTTTTGCAACATGAAAGGGCATGCCTCTGACAGCAGGGCTCGAGGCAAAGCTCAGCAATCCCTGGCGTATTTGGGACATTTGGGGACCATTGTTTCCAAAGCTCAGCATAAACTTTGGACAATGGTGGTGAGCGCATAATCTGAATTTGAAGAAGTTGCAAACTGCTTGAGGAATTCTTTACTTGGCAACAGCCTGCCTCCGCAAAGCAAGCTACTAGGCCCAGCCTCTGAGGCAACGAATAGAAACAAATCCCAGCAGACAAGGCAGGCATCTATTCAGATACTTTCCCTTCTGAGCAGTTAAAGGCAGCTGCAGAAGTGCTAAGTGCCCAGCAAGCCAATCAGCCAAAATCTTTTTGAGGCATGCTGCCTTCTTTCCACCTCTAGGAGAAAAATTATGTTTCTACATCACATTCCTTCCGCGAGGCTTATAGACTGAAGGGCATCTGCCAGCTGAGTGCTCGGCCATGACCACAAGGAAACAGCAAGCAAGCTGCTAAACCCAACGACCCTTTAGATCCAAAGTGGCGCATGCAAGGCATAAGGCATCCAAAAGCATCCAAGAGCAGAGGGCACAAGCACGAGAGAGATGCAGGTGGCTTACAATAGACTCGTCAGTGACTCAACCAGTCTTCACACGATCAACACAACAGTCATGACACTGATGACTGGATCAAGTGTCTTGGAAGGTATCAGAGCCTGAGAACTTGGTGGAAAGTGCGCAGGCCTCTGATCTCGATTCAATCTAGAATCATCCAAAAGCCCGAATTTGACATGGCAAGATGAGTCACTGCAATTGAGCCCATGACATCTCATCGAAGCCTGAAAAAAGGGCGGCACATCGTCTTTGTCCAGAATACTCGATCTGGAACCAAAAGAGTACTGTAAACTGTAAACTTGTAAATGGCTGTCCTTTGAATCCCTCCTTAAGCCACACAGGTCGCTGTTTGTCGCAAGAATATTACAGAAGAGCCTTAAATACACAACGCAGCCTTGGCTCAATCTAGATCTACGACCTTCTTTCTCGAAAAGAGTCAGATACGGTAATTGCCTGCACCTGCAAGCGCTGCTTTGGTCTCATTTTCCAATGCGTCTGCAAGGGACAAAATCTGCTGCACCTAAGTCAAAAGCTGCCACAAAGGGTAAGAGAGGTTACTGGCTCAAGGGAAAGTCATGATGTGGAAGGAACACGCAAGCCACCCTCCTGCTTCTTCCGCTACTATGGCTCACAGCTTTTCTCCAATGACAGCTGCGAAGCTACGCCAAACCACTGACCAATTCTTGTCCTTTTTCACGGCCCCAAATGGAAACTTGAAGGGTTCTGTCCTGTATGTATAAATAAATATATACAGTATATATATATGTATATGTGACTAAAAACTGAAAAAAAAAACTACCTGCACTTCAAACCTAGGATTTGAGACGGACAAGGGAGTCAAGGGGAAACTGAAACAGCTCCACCAGCGCACATCATTCACTGATCCTCCGCGGTGCCGCCCCAAGCATCGTGACGGCCAGCACTGAGGACAGGAGCAATATGCTGCAGATCGCAAATGATGTCTTCAACCTGCCAGATCAAAGAGAGGCTATGCATGAAAGGAGGCAGAATGCTACGGATAGATTGACTTTCTATGAATAGCTCCAAATTTATTCTAGCCTTCCAAAAACCACATTTGCTGGAAAAGTTGCATCATCCCACCAGCTAATTCTGTTCGGTGACTCCAGATCTGCAAGCAATAGTAGCACGACGCACATGTTCAAGGGCACACGGTATACCTGTGTGCATCCCAGAAGCGAGTTTTTCATTCTAGACAGTTTCAAACTGTCCAGTCTGCATAATCTACTGAAGAAAAACAGAAAAGAATTGGCTTAGAACAAAGCTTCAGCATAGTTGCATTGTAGACTCCAGCCCGCGCTTCTTCCGGGACCAGTTCACTCTTCACAGTGCTCACACAGGGGAAGTAGGCACCCACCTAATACATAAAATCAAGTCAAACGCAAGATTGCAACCAGGTAAGTTACTGGTCAGTGCAGTTTGCATTGGCCAGAGGAGTCCGAGGAATAGGCACACGCTTCAAAAGCAAGGAAGCTGAAGAAAATCAAGGCTTCACCTCAGAAAAACTGTCGAAGTGACAACTTTGCCAATTGTTGATACGCAAAAAAACAAATCTACAGTACATCAAATTGCTTATGCCATTGAGATGTGGCAAATCATGAGGATGCATCAATCACTATCAATCACTGGTTTTTTTCATTGGCTTCGAAAATTGGATTGAAGCAAGCCGCTAGAGGTGGTGAACAAAGAAGAAGCCACTGTGGCCAGTGCACCGGCTGCGAGGAGGCAAACAGGCCAAAGGGCCTTCGGCACAAGTCCAACTTTTGAGGCAAGCCTGGGACGAACCTGCAGAAACTCTGTTATTGTTACACGAAACGTATCAAAATGTCATCTTTGCCCATGTCAAAGTCAAAGTGCCTTGATGGGTGCAATTGATGCATCAAGCAGGTTGAAGAGCGAGGATCCGCACATGCAAGCCATCCTCATATGGGATATTTGGAACCAGGTAGGAGCAAGGACGCTACTAGGGCTCCTGGTCGCTACTAGGAACAAGAAGCTACTAGGGGCTTCTGGCCTTACTACTAGGAGCAAGGACGCTATGGAACCATGATCCTTCCTTTTACCCTAGCGCAGGTTCTGAAGATTCTTGGCTGCGGGTCAAGCCCCTCACCATAGTGTTCACATTTGTCTAGAGCTTTGGGACGGCCACGTTGATCGAATTTGGTTTTACATGCATCGTTCTCTTAAACTTGACAAGACTCATGAAGGCGCTGAAGATAAGTCCATGTGGTGGAGTACCAGCAGAACAACCATCCAATGCTGGAGTCCAGTTGAAGACAAAAACGTACCTGTGCCATGCACTGCTTTGATGTTGACAAACAAGTGCCCTCGGGAACTGAGACAGCCCTTTCACCTGTGGAATCGTTTGTGGAAACGCACATTCCCAATGACTGCTTGATATACATACACATGGGGTGTGATGCAAAAGGCAAACAACCAAGTCAAACAGTTATTGTTCCCTTATGTTCCCTTTCAATTTGTCTCAAGCAGGCTGTTGTTTTTGTCGATTCTCAATTTGTCTTGATTGCGTAGGCTGCAGCCCTTGACAGAGACTTAAGTAGAATATGTTTTTGAGACCTACATTGCAAAATATCCGCAAGTTTCCACCCCAAAGGGCGCCCAGGAACTTCTCAGTTGGATGTGTGTGTTTTTGTCTGGCCGTCAAGCTAAGCAAACAATGTGGCACGGCCCCCACCAAAGCAGATCCGAGTTTACACATGGTTCTGGAATGCGTGTCACTGCGTTCTACAATTTGCAGAGTCCTATGAACCTTTGGCTACATGTACAAAAGTACTGCAGAATCCAGTCGTGCCACTGTCAATTACTACACATGGTCTTCTTCCGGAAACATCCATGGGCCATGGGTATTTGGGCTCTCAAGCAGCTTGTGAAGATCTCCATTCGAGGGGCATAGAGCTCTCGAAGGCAGCAACTGCCAGGCCAAGCAAGGGGACACGCCAATCAGATGCGAGAGCATCGCATCCAGCCTGCACACGAGCGCAGGAAGCATCATGCTCGCAACCGTCCACAACCGTTCACAACCGATCGCAACCCTTTGAATGTGATCGATAAGGCCCTGACATTGGGGAAAGGTTTTGGAGGAGGTTTCGAATGAAAGGCTGAAGTGTCAGGTGATTCGTATGAGATAGCGGAGAAACGTACCTGGAAGTATGGAGGCACAAGAGTGAGTGTCTCCTACAAGAGTGTCCCACAAGGTCACAAGAGTGTCAAACAATGTTTGGCCGTTTGTTTTCCAGTGCACGTGCGCATCCGGGTTCGCGGGCTCCATCTTGTTCATCTCTTTTTGTTGTTGTCTCAAGAAACGATGAACAAACTGAGTAGACTTGCTGGTGCCCTGCTGATGGTCCGTGAGAATTCTCAGTGTTAATGATGATTGTTAATGCTGATGATCCAGCCTGGAAGGACAGTGCCACTTGAGAAAGACCGGCCACCCCTGAGCACGCTTGCTGAGCCCAGACTGAACAAAACCACAAGTGCCAAGTGCTGTGAGCTGTGTTTCAAGCCTGACTTTACCGGCAGTCCTGTTGCAAGTCAATCAAAGCAGCGCCCACAACTCTTGTCCGGATCTTGCGTTGCAGCTAAAGGCTGGAACCCTCCCAGCTGCCTTCGCCACGTCTTTCACCATAGTTCTCCTGTCACTATGAGGCCCTTCTGGCAGATATCTTCAGTGGTGTAAAACTCGTATTCATGGCATTTCTGTTGCGGTTCGCAGAGGACCCTGTCTTCACAGTTGGTGGGATTGTCCCCGCACAATCCTATGAAACCAGAAAGGCACTAGTCTGCACACGAGGCCCAAGCCCTGCTCACTGGCGGGGGCCAGTACATGTCCATGAGCCAAGGTCAAGTAGAAAGGTCTAAGGTTGAAAAAATTACACCACCGTAGACCCCAAACAGTTTGTGTTTTCAATATCGGAACACTCTGCAACTAGAGCTTGCGACGTCCAGAGCTGGGATACAAGGATTGCAAGGCAGAGGCGGCCACAGCAGTCCAGAGCTGCGAGACAAAAGGAAGACAGAGGGAGACAAATGTAAAGGATTGCAAGGCAGAGCAGCTGGGAGACAAACGTGAAGGGTTGCAAGCGAGAGGGGGAGAGAGGAGGCACATGTAAAGGAAAGAGGGAAGACAAGGCGGACACAATGACCAACAAGAAGGGGGACAACAAGGGAGACAAAAGGAAACACAAGGGAGACAAGACGGACATAGTGCCCAACAAGAAGGGAGACAAGACCGGAGACAAAGGGAGACAGAAGGGAGACAAGGCGGACACAATGACCAACAAGAAGGGACACAAAAGGAAACAGAAGGGAGACAAGACGGACACAGTGACCAACAACAGGGGGACACAGTGACCAACAAGAACGAGAAATCACCTGGGAGACAGATATGAATAGAACTGCTGGAGAGGGGAAAAGGGCGGATGCCAGCAGTGCAGGCACCGAACCTGGAAAACAAAAGTAAACAAACCACATGGGAAACAAATGAATAGAAATGCTGCGTGGCCAGCGGAAAAGGGCGGACACCAGCAGTGCAGGCAGCGAACCTGAGAGACAAAAGTAAAGAAATCACTTTAAAGACAAACGAATAAAGAAACATCTTAAGAAAGAATTGAGAAACCCTACGTAACGGCAAACTATGTGGGGAATGAAAAGAAATGTTGCATCGCCAGCGGAAAAGGGCGGACACCAGCAGTGACACACCTCACAGACAAATGAATAGAAACGCTGCATGGCCAGCGGAAAAGGGCGGACAGACCTGGAAAACAAATGAATAGACATGCTACATGGCCAGCCGAAAAGGGCGGACACCAGCAGCGACAGACCTGGGAGACAAATGAATAGAAACGGTATATGGCCAGCGGAAAAGGGCGGACACCAGCAGTGACACACCTCGGAGACAAATGAATAGAAATGTTGCAACGCCAGCAGAAAAGGGCGGACACCAGCAGGGCAGACCTGGGAGACAAATGAATAGAAATGCTACATGGCCAGCGGAAA